ACCCCTTTCTGAACACTTTTCTCTTACATTTTCAACCTTACTATTTTACTAGTAAAGTTGAAAATTAATAAAATTATTTTAAAACTTTTGGAATTAGATCGTGCGGTGTGCCGCGCCAGCTATCTGTTCCTACTTCTAAGTAGAGCTGTTTTCTTTACGTAATTATTATCCTAAACTAAATATTTCCGTAATGTTATCTCTTTTGTTTTTTATGCAGACATCAAGTTACTGCAGACCCGGATATAGATTTTCAACTTTATTACATACAGTTAAGACTGAAATTCCAAAATATATTACTATCCGAATATAACGAGTACCTAATAGGTTATTTGATACGACCTTTTGTTATCGACATAGTTTAAAATTATGCGCAGAAACTTTTTTTTTAAATGAGCTATTATGTCATCATTTGTAATTAGAGTATTTTAAAATATATAATCAAGATGACCTTATACACACACTAAAGCGCATATTTGCTTTCGTTTTGACTGAATTAATTTGAAGGAAATCCCTGACGTCCAGATCGGATCGATTGTTCGTTTTTTAAAAAAAAAATCCGTTGTTTAAGCTGTTCCTGCAATATTGTTAAAATAACATAATATCACGCCTTTTATCTCCGAAGGGGTAGGCAGAGGTGCTCATTAGCCACTGTACAATGTAACACCCACTTTTCACTATTTATGTTATGAGTCCCATGTATTAGGGGGTGAGCATATTGCCATATACCGGGCACAATTCCAGACTCCGTGCTACTACTGAGAATATTTTAAAACCCAGTAATAATTTGCCCGACCCGGGTATAGAACTCGAAACCCCTTACCCAGCAGTCGCACGTGCGACTAATCGGCCAACGAGACAGTCAATGCAGTATCAATTTTAGTTCCTTTTTTAAAACAAGTTAAAGGAGGTTACTAGCCAAAGCAACCATGACCTAGCCAACATTTTGAGCCTTGAACACATCACACATTACAACAATCACGTACAATATTGACATAACATGCTAATTAAAAACAAAAACGTATAACACTCCTTTTTTGGCACTGTCGAGTAAAAACTAGTACCTACCTGGAAATCATATGCACTTTTTTAGAAATATCCAATCGACTGGGTAATTTACCGGTTCATTGATTTATAAGGAACTGACATTTTAACTCGTCGAGTACCGGTTTTGCAGACACAATTATAGAACAATAGGTTGCGGTCACCGGTGACCGCTTGGTATTTGACAGTTTAATCAGTGCTCAAAGACTTCCGCTAATTTAAATAACATAACATCACTATATCCGTGAAGGGGTAAGCAGAGGTGCACATTACGGCACTTAATGCCACTGTACAATGTAACATCCACCTGCCTCGTTGGCCGAGTGGTTGCATGTCGACTGCTAGGCATGGAGTCTCAGGTTCGATTCCCGGGTTTGGCAAAGTATTACTGGGTGTTTAAAAAAATCCCAGTAACAGCACGGAGTCTGGAATTGTGCCCGGTACATGGCAATAGGCTCACCCCCTATTACATGGGACTCATAACAGAAATAGTGAAAAATTAGTGTTACATTATACAGCGGCATTAGTGCCGTAATGTCCACTTCTGCCTACCCCTTCGGGATCAAAAGGCGTGATGTTATGTTATGCAATTAGGCACTTTACTACAGTTTCATTATAAACTGGTAATAAATCCTATAATAAAATAGACACAGACATTACATACATAATTAACAAAAAAGTTATTCTATCTATGCTAGTCTAAAAAAAACGACACACCTAGAGTCATGAAGTCTAAAATTCCGGGGCATGACGTCATGACCTTGTGTCGAGACATTGGCGGGAATGTCGTAATATCTCAACACTAGATTCTAACCCGCGGCACCGCCCGAGAAAGTAGACGTAACAACTCTATTTAGAAAGTATCAATATTGTCTCTGGTCTAAGTGACAGTTAAGGTTTTATTACTTTGTTTGTATTTGTCTATGGTAGGATAAACACAACTGTACGTCTAAATTACTTAGATAATTGTCTATTTTAACTCATTACTATGTACCTCTATGTGGTGTTGGCGAAGAATGCTCCGGATACCATGGACTGCCAGACGAACTAATAGGTCAATCCTAGAACAGCTCAATATAAAGACTAGACTGTCGACCGTATGTTATCAGCGAATTCTTGGATACTTCGGTCACATTGCCCGCCGCCAGTCAGATAACCTCGACAAATTGGTTGTTGTTGGTAAGGTGGAAGGAAAGAGACCACGTGGCCGATCTCCTAGCCGATGGTGTGACCAAGTTGCCAACTACACTGGACTCTCTGTTACGAAAACCCTGAGAGAAGCCGAAAACAGGACAAGATGGAGGGAAATAACACAGAGAGCAATGAAGGCCTTTCAGGGGCACGACCTTCAGAAATGAAGCAAGCGATCGAGAAGATGTACCTCTATACAAACCCGTTGTGTGCCGAATCGCGGATCCATGCGAGACACGTATTTTCTATGGTGTTTCTTACCTATACCGGCATTCAATCGGTTAAGGGTAGACAACAACTAAAATGCCTCCTACTTCTTTAGCTGCCAATAGATTAATGTATCTGATTATACAAACACACAGCGATATTAATATTCGTGAAGAGTGCACAGATAAAAAAATAATCAAACTATCTAAGTTTAAAAATATAATTTTGAAAAAAAAATTTGCGTTTCCGCCTAGCATCATGTCGCGTCGGCATTGACTAGTTTACGAGCGAATTAACAAAAAACATGCATCAAACAGACACATCTAATTACGAAACATTAAAAGACTAACGCAGACATTAATATTATATTTACAAGGTCACAATATTCGGGAAATGTAGAAAAAATATCAATATGTTTCGCTCAACTAAACCTAATGAAATTTTATAGCGAGTGATATAATATTTATCCGCAATTCTTACGGGATCTGGGAAAACACATCCTGTATTTTGCATCCCGGTTTTTCCAATTCTTTTATTCTATTTTATGCGCGTAGATACGTACAGAACCTAGAATAAATATATCATTGTCAAACACTACAATTACTTGACTGCACGGTTGGTGCGATGGCTGGGCAACGTGTCGCGGGTTCGATTCCCACACGGAACAACACTTTGTGTAATCCACAAATTGTTGTTTCGGGTGTGGGTGTGATGTGTATGTGAACTTGTATGTTAGTAAACGTATCCACGACACAGGAGAAAATCCTAGTGTAGGGTTTTATAAAAAAAAAACTATGTTTTTCAGCTTATTCACCTAATGATTTGACGAGGAAATCACACAAAATCCATCTTTACATAATTAAAAAGGTTTTCTAAAAATAACTGAAGCCGTTGATGGGTACACAAGGGTGCAAAACCAGGTGCAAGACACCATAGCACCAATCTGTCGCTAGAACAGCTGTTTATTCACCTTTTTGCTAGTGGCAATTTTCCATCTTCAATGGGTAGCGGTTCAACGGCCAGGTCACACAACATTAACTAGCTACTTTCGCGCGGTTGCACCCGCTCTGCTCGGCTCCTTTTGATCATAGCGTGATATTTTGTAATCTATAACCTTCCTCGATAAATATAGTATCCAACACAAAAAGAATTATTGAAATCGGACTGGTAGTTCCGAAAATTAGCGCGTTCAAACAAACAAACAAAAAAACAAATTCTTCAGCTTTATATAGTACTACTAGCGACCCGCCCCGGCTTCGCACGGGTGCAATATGTATATACATACAAACCTTCCTTAAGAATCACTCTATCTATTAAAAAAAACCGCATCAAAATCCGTTGCGTAGTTTTAAAGATCTAAGCATACATACGGACATACAGCGAAAGCGACTTTGTTTTATACTATGTATTGATGTATTGATAAGATATAAGATAAAAAAATCGGCTTAGACTTGGCGCGACTTTGTCTATAATTTCATTACCTTTTAGAGATAAACTTTATTGCAGAATATTTTTAGTTGGATAGTATTTATAGTGTCTTAAAACATATTTTTAGGTATCTAGGTTATCTATATCACTTAGCAAACCGGTTCATCCAATGTCATTGTCAAAATTATCGTTATTTTTATACGCAACGCAATCTGCATCTTTGGGTGCTTCATGATTATAAAATCTTTGACCCACAATGTTGATAATACCACAGAAATATGCAGAATAAGTACAGTTATATAATTATATATTTACAAACGTTTCGTGAATTTTTTATAGCTCTTATTTAGGATTCCGTTACTAAACGAGGAACAGTTCCTCGGCGTCACGTATGTACTTCTCTTTAAGTTATACTTCCTAAGCTCTTAACCTCCACTGTGGTCAATATTACGGTCAAAAGTTTTACTATAAAAATAATATGGGCCTATAAAGCATAATAAAAATTACCAATGCTCAATTTTCCTTGAGTTGAGGTAAAAATCACTGATTTTATTAATCGACTTCAATATGAAAATAAAGGTGTTCATTTCGATTTGTATGTAAGTACTTATAGAGGTAGTATGTCCGCGATTATCTAGCGATTGGCTGAACGGATTTTGATGCGATTTTCATAAAAGTGTTTGTTACAGTTAGGAGTAGGGCTTTGGTATATCAACTGGGTTTATTGTTATTGTTTTTATAATAAGAATTACGTTAAAGTCGGACTTTTAACTCGTTGAGTACCGTCATTATAGACACAATTAAAGAACAATAGGTTGCGGCCACCTGTGACCGCTTGGTGTTTGACAGTTTGAAACGTAGTTTTCAGATTTTTTGTTGTCCTTTTACTATCCGCAAGGGGGCCAGTCGACCTGATCAAGGTCGCAGGGAGGCGCTGGATGCAGGTCGCTTCCAACCAGCCTATCTGGAAGTCATTGGGGGAGGGCTATGTTCAGCAGTGGATGTCCTGTGGCTGATATGATGAAGATGATGATGATGATGATGACTGTTATATGTTTTTGCGATTTTGTTACCTAACTAATGACTCCATCTTGCTTATTAAAAATACTAATAACTGTTTTCTTTCATTCCAGGTACAAATAACCACATTGGATGCATCAAAAATGGGGCAAGGAGGACGTATATGAAAACCATTCAATCAAACATAAGTATCAACATTTCGATCTATCGATATTGTAAATCACTACAATTAATAATTTTCCAACCGATTGTATCGTATTTCTCATTGTCATAACAAAATTAATTAGACACAATTGTCTTTTTGAGAGTAACGTATCGAATCGATTAATCGGGAAAAGCAATCGATTGTGTTTTGTAAAACGATACTTATTGAAGTGATTATAAACAGTTGTATTTAGTAGAACCCGTTCGATAAGTAGGTCATGATCTATATATAATGTACGCCAAAATTTATCAAAATCGGTGCAGTAGTTTTTGAGAATGTAAATATCGAACATTATAGTTTTAAGTTAGGTTGTATAGAAATGACTGACTATGAAAGATGGTGGATAATATTGAGAATTATTCAAATAATAGAGTTGTGATAGTTGTGAAAAGGTGGCCTTACCAGTGGACAGTGTAGTATATTTTCTTAGACACAAAGATCACGATTTAAAAAAAAGAAATTAAGTAAGAGGCCATTCTACCATAGAGGTTGTCTAACCTCTTTGGTAGAATGGCCTCTACTAAAGACATTTACTTGGTTAAAGCAGTACATCAAGCTATCTAAAACTTTTTAATCGATTTTAAACTTTAGTGTCTACCAATTGGGTATTTTACTGGGTCAAAACTAAATTATTTTTATTTTTCAATCCAATCAAATATTCAAAAATAATTATAATTTCATTCATATATTTGACGGTACACCTAATTTTCGATTTATTCTAGCATTTTATTCAGAAATAAGTGTACCTACTATTTGACTCTGAAATATGATGACGTCATAAGTTGGTTTTGGGTACAAAATTCATATAGGTAACAATATAGTTTTTGACGTTTCGATAAAAGTTATGAATTTGATTAGTTTTAAAATATCGTATTGAATTGAAAGTACCTTGTAATCAAAAGTTTACCTAACAGACCCGTTTAAGTATAAAGTGGTATGATAGATACGACGTTAAGCATATGATTATAAGGTTCAGTTTTAACCACCGCTGTTGAAGTTTCAGTTAATCTTAACTGACAGATTAACATGATAATTCGGTACTGGCCAACTAGTCAAATTCAATACTTTTTTCGAACTGTCAAAAACGACAGTTTTCTATGAATTTTGTACGAGATTGTGTATTGTGACGTCACGTTTTTTTAGCGTAAAACAGCATACGTAATACAGCATGCATTGCTGGAAAAATACTAAAATTAAGTTATAAAATCAATTAATGAAAGTGTGATTATTTTTTTATTATTTTATTGTATTGTATAGTCCATATAATTTAATTTTGATTAAGGCAAGTACCCATTTTCGCTCGCGTCACAAAAGGATAAAAGTAGCCTATGTGACATATAACAATACATACAGCGCCATCTATACCAATACTCTTGTTTTCCCTCGGGAATATCAATTTATTCCGGGATAAAAAGTACCCTAACCAAACATTTAACTTTACGTCTGCAAAAATTCAAAGCAATCGGTTTAGTAGTTACGGCGTGAAATCGGAACAAACAAACAAACTCACTTTCCGATTTTAGTAATGAAGTAAGTTAAATTAATAGATGGTAAACCAGACCCTAAGTAACGTCTTAAGTGACTTGGACGCCTTGTTGGTACGTAAAGAACGAAATATACTATCGACTAAACCTAAACTTGACTAGTTGAAAAAAAAATAAGCACTTTATAAGATCAGAAAATATGTTAATATGGTCGAAGGTTAAATCCCAAATAACCGTTTGATTTTACCGCAGCTATATTTTATTATATCAAGATATTTACAAAAAAATCTATTCATTCTTATATATGTATGAGTTACGCATATAAAACAAACTAACAGTATATAGAAAATGGTACATATGTACAAAAAATATCAAGGTCACAAGTCAATAACCTTTTAATTGCAAAAAATAGCTTAAATTCCAATGTAATAAAGTCTAATTTCGTTGATGAAGTGCTGGGTAGAATTACTGACCATTGGAGGCCTCAAATTATTAGATAAAATGGCATTTTTAGATGGTTTCAAAATGCTCAAATGAAGTAGAGAATGCACAATATTATTATATCAACAATTTGAAGATTTTTAATTAACCTTTTATCTGTTGAAACACCGGCTCCCGGTATAATACACATTATGGCCGCAACTTTCAATTCACAAGACGCTAAGCTTCTCTGCTTAGACATTTTGGGCAAAGACTGTCGTGATAATCGAAGCCGAATTAAAATTTATAAACATTTATACTATTCGATAAGCTCACCCCTATTACATGGGACTCATAACATAAATAGTGAAAAGTGGGTGTTAAATATTGTACAGCGGCATTAAGTACCGTAATGTGCACCTCTGCCTATCCCTTCGCGGAAAGGAGTCGTGATGTTATATATGTATATATGTAAAAATCTATAGTTTATTTTACCTAGCTTCAAATAATGGCACATAAATATAAATATTTGTACAATTTTCTCGTGCCTTTGAACATGGTGGTATAACCTTGAACTGTATATATAAATTTTAATGAACACCTAAACTATAGCAATAAATATATTTGTATATCTCGTTATTGTTATTGCCGGCAGTTATTGAGTACAAACAATAGAATAATACATAATCTTGACCTTCATAAAATTATATTGAAGTATATAGACATTACACTCAGAGCGTCGGAGACCGCGCGACCATCTCCGGCCACCGTAAGTGCAGGTCTGCGCATGGGCGTTAAATAGCCATCAGACTACCACAGGTGGAGCCTGGTAGGGCTGATGCCCGATACGAATCCGCGGAAGGCCTAACGGGTTTCCGGAGCTCCGGCTCGAAGAGCAGGAGTAGGAACGGCGTGGTTTTTAGTCAGTAAGAATTTGATAATTCCCTTCGCCTAACCCAAGGCGTTAGAAGTCATTGATTGATGTGTCAATTTCCGCCATCAAAAAAAATTGTACCTAAAGAATTTATGGCGAACCCTCTTATAGTCATGTAGGCCTATAATCCAGCAGTGGACAGCCACGAGGCGTCGATAATGGTGTATATTTTAAAGTACTAATTTTGTGATCGAATACAGGAAACTTAATCATAATTAGCTTTAGAAATCTACTACAAATAAGTCCATTGTTTTGTTAATTTGTTTGCAATGCCAAGCGATTTATGTGATACTAGTCATAGATACATTGTTAATATCTGCATTGTTTGTTATCATCAATAAACATTATTTTTACTGAAAACATTCGTTTTATTCATCAACAACTTATTATTAGAAACTACTTCCATAAATAAAACGTTGTTAACACTGTTATTTTTTTACATTGTCAAATATTATGACAAGTTTCGTAAAATGTACTTGACATAAATAAACATCGGTGACTGATTCAAGTTAATTCAAAAATTATACAAGTCTCAAGCAGGTGAATATAAAATACATTTTTTTAATTTCAATGGGAATAAATCTATGTTAATTTGCATCTTATTTGTTTACATAAAAAAGCAACATGAGAGACAATTCTCAGTGGTACACATAACAGAAGAAGATAACTTTCAGACAACACAGTCTAATGCGGTGAACACTTTCACCAAAGTTCACGAAATGTCAATCCGTCTAAACTGCACATTCCCTCTGCATGTCCGACACAGACGTCCAACTTTCAGAGTTTATTTACAAATAAAACATCGCGAATGCAAACTGCGATCAAATCATTCGCAGAAAAGATTCTCGACACATCATATACATCAAGACTTAGTGTAGAAATACTCGGTATTCAAATCACAGAAGGCGACGAGTACATACCAGCGTATAGAATAAAATCTGTCACTTTGTCTACTATCACATACGCGAATGGTTTGTTAGCTAAGAATTCTACAGCTGAACCATTATTCCTGACTAGGGAGTTTGCAGTCGCCGTCACACCCTTCTCATTAACTTCTATGTCAGTTATCTGTGTCATCAGAGATGCGTACAACCTAAATTTACTGATTCCCTTAAACTCAGCTGCGTTAGGGTCAAATATCCTCCTGATACCCATGTCGTACACGAGTTCGGGTAAGTTCTCAACTTCAGAGCGCTGCTTGAACCTAGGTATGGTGACATTAACCAACTGGGGCCCTTGTATATTGTACATGTTGAATATGGAGGTCAGCCTGGTCGTCTGTAGACTGTAGAATATGTCGCTGACCCATAGTTTTTTTAGCGGCAGAAACACTAACATTGATATCCTGCGACTGGCGCACGGTATTTCTAACACTGTAGCACCTATGTGAGGGAAATCTATTACATTGAATTGTCCTACTTGATTTATCATACTCACTTCACCGATTTTATCTCCTTTACGCGAATAAAACGGCTGTACCCCGACACTAGTAAACGGAGACTTCCAGTCACTTCTAAAATAACTAGCATCACTCATGAGTAGCACTGTGTCGTTAAAGTCATCATGGTACAGTATACGGTTGATCACTCCGTCGGTGCCGTCTTCAATCACGTGGTTCACTTCCTGCGCTGACTTCTCAGGTTCGTTGAAGGCTAGCAGCAACACTTTGATTCCGTACAGCTTCGCTATGTCCTGAATGTATTTTTTGTTGACGGCCATCAATTTGTCTATTGCAATCACACTCTTCCTTTTCATTTCAAAACGTAAGTCAAAGTTGAGCCGGTTTAAAATCCCGCTCAGCTGCCTTTTGAAGCATCTGTTCTTGTGATGTCTGGTTAGTCGCCAAATCTCGTTGAGTGTGCGGCCATCGGCGCCCTCAGCCAGCGCCGAGAGCTGCAGCCAGGTGGAGACGGGTGAGTACACAAAGTGGGCATCTGTCTCCTCGGTAACCCGCTGTAACATTCTCATTGAGAACTCATAGGCTGGTCGCTTGAGCAGCAGCAGAGCGGATCTCTTGCCACAATTATATTCGGACGCTAAAACACCGTAAGCACATAAAATCACGAACGTTAAAAGTTTAACTTCCATTTTCGCGCGTAGCATTAGTTTCGTTATCGAACAACTGTTTGGCGCGCGCGCTGCCAGTTGAATGAGCCCGACCGCGGTCTGCGCGTACCTCGTAACACAGTTATTTATAATGATAGCACCACGTACTAGGTACTTACTATATGCACAAGAATGAAAGCTTTAAGTTTAAGGACTTAGGAATTCTGTTGTGAACAGGCTGTGCCCTTAGTCTGTAACAAGTTCATAGTTGCCGGGTCTAATGAGGTTGTATAGCCGGCAGCCCGGCAACCTAATTTATGCGTGTGCGCGCATAACGGTAACTGTAGTATGCGATACAGTGGTAGAGTCGCGACTCATTAAGATTTGGATAATGTTATCTCGATACATTTGTGCGTATCATGGACAGCTGCGATATGGTCGGTCACTTGTAATAATTTTAAGAAACTGACCAGATATCAGCTGCACTTTATTGAAAAATAATATTAATGTATGTACTTACGCAATGTATTGATTGCCTAGTCTATTTTAGGGGATGAATGAGCAGACGGATCATCACCTAATGGTAAGTAATCAATGTCACCCATAGCACCAGTAACGTCAAAAGATTTACAATCAAACCTAACAAACCATTTTGAGCATTATACATCTTTACTAAGGTAAGGTCCATATATTTATGTGCGTAAGCATTCCTTGTTGAATGGAAATTACAGTGAGAACTATTACCAATGCTAATTTTGAGGAAATAAGTTCATCCTAACATGCCGTAGTTCACAAAGAACCTAAGTTTACAGTTTGACCACTTTGTCAGCTAAGTTTTCGTCTTCTGAGTAAAAGATTTTCAAAATATTCCGATATTTTTTTCTCCATTAACCCCAAGGGCATTATTATGAGGCCGTGGTGTCACTCCAGTCTAGCCGGCCCATTCGTGCTGAAGCGTATCATGGTTCTACAGGAGATCATGATAAAAGGTCATGTTAATTTATTTGAACAATATTATCAATTATTTTTCTAATATGACATACATTTTCTCAATCTCAATAATTGCATTAAAAGACGATACAAGCAGTAATGACGACGGATTTCCGTCCATTGATGTCATTTGTGATCTCATTCTCCATTCTATAATAATACACAAAGGTCATATACCGCTCTGTATACTCTGAATCAAATGACACAGCAGATCAAACTACACTAATAATTCACAAACATTTTCAATTTTATTTCAAAAGCAGTAAAGTTGAAATCTCTATTAAAGATAAACAGATTTGTATAACTTCATATGCATCACGCATCTGCATTACAGGAGCAATGTTGCTATGATCCGTGACGGACATTGAATGCATTTAAACATTGTAATTCAGAACTATTCAAGCGTAAATAATGATATTCTTTTACCATCTACAAAACATTAGCAAGCGATGAGCGGCGCTGATCACCTTCAGGTGCTCCGTCAGCTCATTTGCCTCCGATCTCTTAAAAAAGCGATAATGATTGTCCTTAGTAGAGTCTGGCAAACGAAAGTAGAGACTGAAAAAGCCCGGCAAATTTAAAAAATATCAGTATAGCAACCCAAAAATTAGTATGTCATACCTAGAGTAACCAGACGTGAAGACGTAACAAACAAACAAATTATTATAAAGTATCAAATTAGGTTACTCCTAGGCTATAAGTGTGTACTAGGTGCTATACTGATATTTTTTAAATTTGCCGGGCTTTTTCAGTCACTACTTTCGTTTGCCAGACTTTAACTAGATCATATTCGCTACAAGCGCCACCTATGGAGAGCAAAAACGTATACTTAGCTACTAGACCGATTGATAAAATCTTACTCCATAGAAAAGTTATCTTTTCAGGGAGTTTAATATTTTAGTCTATATTTAGATAGTTTTTGTTAATTTCAATATTTAACACATAGGGATATACACGATTGTCTCGCGTATTTCCCTATGTAGCTTGCAGATGAAATCACTTAATATAGAACAATCTACGTACTATTATTAGATATCTTAATTTATTATTATTTTTGCCTTTATTATTATTGACTGCCTACCTGGTCGTAAGTGCGACTGCCAGGCAAAGGGTCTCGGGTTCCATTCCCGGGTCGGGCAAAGTATTACTGGGGTTTTTAAAAATCTCAGTAGTAGCACGGAGTCTGTAAACGTGCCCGGTATATGGCAATAGGCTCATCCCCTACATTGGACTCATAACATAAATAGTGAAAATTGGAAGTTACATTGTAGAGTGGCATTAAGTGCCGTAACGAGCACTTGTACCTACCCCTTCGGGGATAAAAGGCGTGATGTTATGTTATGCTATTTTTGCAGTTTATTGTAATTCAATCAATGAATATCTTTCATTATTCCAAGCCAGTTGCTATGCAGTAACATGAAGACCGTCATTGCATGTAATCATTAAATCTGATGAATTTGCAATGTGTGTCCATGTTGATGACGCCCGATCCCCGTCGAGGTTGCCGTCATGTTACGATGCAATATTTTTTATAGTAAAATATTAAATTATACATACTTTAAACTGTAATACTTAATGTATAGTTTTAGTCAAGGTCGTTGAAAAGAAGGCGAAGTATGGGAGAGCCATGCTTCGGCACGAATGGGCCAGCTCGACCGGAGTGATACCACGGCCTCACAGCAGACCGACGTGAAACAACGTTGTGTTGTGTTTCGTCGTATGAGTGAGGTTATCGAATGCCCAATTACCCCCCTTTCCCCAATCCCTGAATCCCTAAGAATCCTCAAATTCCTAATCCCAAAAGGCCGGTAACGCACCTTTAACGTCTCTAGTGTTCCAGGTGTTCATGGGCGACGCCGATTGCTTACCATCAGGTGATCTGTGTACCAGTATATCCCATAAAAAAACAGTCTCTTGAAACTATAACTGCACCTGGTTACTATAGACTTACACAGTGTGTAAGTCTTAATAAAGTGTTAGTCTAAGACACGAAGGACATCTGTCATTTTCATAAGTCTATTATCTATAAGGTTATTAGAGGTATCATCATCATCATCAACAGCCTATAAGTATCCACTGCTGACCAAAGGCCTCTTCTCACACGGAGAAAGTTTGAGCATTAATCACCACGCTTGCTCAATGCGGGTTGGCAATTTCAAACTTATAATTAGAAATTATAAGCCCAGGTTTGCTTACGATGTTTTCCTTCATCGTTTGTCTAAATAGTCTTAGAAAGTACAAATTACTCGAAAAAAGTCACATTGGTTCTTGCCGTTGGTAGGTTTGGAACCCGCACTCTCATGCATGAGAAGTGGGCGTCTTAAACCTCCGGGCCACCACGACAACGTCTGAAACGCCTCTCGCCTAAGGTCACCAGGGACTCAAGGCGGGAGAAGTCATTGCATAATTTTCCCCCCTCAAAAAAAAGGGAGCCGCTGGATGCAGGTCGCTTCCACCTGGCCTATCTGGAAGTTATTGGGGGAGGCCTATGTTCAGCAGTGGACGTCCTGTGGCTGATATGATGAAGAATCTTTTCTAAGTGACATTGAATACGCCTTTTTGTCGACGACCTTGGTTTAGTGACAAAACTTCTTCAACCAGGTCGGAATCTGAAAAAAACATAAATCATTTGGGGGTCATCAATAAATTACGTCACACGAATTTCATGATTTTTTTGCCGCTCCTTGTCACAGCTAGTCACATTAGTGTGACGACACATTGTGCAGAATTACAATATAGACACTATTGTTATTTTTATTACCGCTCAAATCTATACTAATATTATAAAGAGGAAAGATTTGTTTGTTTGTTTGTTTGTAATGAATAGGCTCCGAAACTACTGAACGGATTTTTCACCTCTGGAAAGCTAAATTATCCCCGAGTAACATAGCCTATATTATTATGTTTTAAAAATAATTAGGGATCTTTCTTAAAATTCCAATAATGTAACCCGAGGTGTAAAAAAATGACCTGAAAAATTCCTTACGTCGCGTGCGCTGCGAAAACTATTGATGATAGAACAAAATCATTTACTACGGACTTTGCAGAACTCATAATTATCTACAAAAAGTGTCGCGACAGCATGTCTAAATATTATAGTTATGTCACAGTAAGCGGTTTTTTATTCTAAAAATTTAATTTATATGCCGCCGCTTGAAAAGGCTCTCACTAAAACTAATGGCTTTTGTTTTTTTGTAGATAATATGATTTTGTAAAGAATTTAAAATTAAAAAAAAAGAAAACATTAATAAAAAATATGAATAAAAAAAAATCATTAAAAAAATTCTAACTTCCTTTATAATTTTACTTTTTTTTTGAAACCCGACGCAAAAAAGAAGGGTGTATGTGGGTGTGTGTATGTATCCGTGCGAAGCCGGGGCGGGCCGCTAGTTACTTTATAAAAATATTAATGTCAAATCAATTAACAAAATAAAAAACCTTAGTACGATTATATTTTGTATTTTAACGCAGATTATAATAGTTTTTTAAATGTGACATCACTAAGTTTTGGATCCCTTCCTCCCCCTAGTCACACAATATCACACTTCGTCGACCCCCCCCCCTCCCTCTTAAGTTGTGACGTAATTTACGGATGGCCCTTGTGTCCCTGTTTCTTTAAAAAAATCGTGATGATGATTTCCGTACAAAACCATAAACAAGGAAGTTTTATTTTTGAGATGTTCAGCTTCATTAATAAACATTGTCAAATTAACATAAAATTATAGAGCAATTTTCAAATAGGTATCAACAAAAATCTGAATGAAACCGGAAACCAGTTTTTCTAGTTTCAAATTTTAATTGAATCAATCTAAATTTAATTTATTTCAAATACTATAATTGTAAGATTTAGTACTATTTTTGAAATTCTCATTCTTAGTACGGAGTTTGGAATTTTTGCGTAAAATGGCTATATAAGCTCAGTCTTATTTTTACTAACTAGATGGCGCTACTTAACATTAGGTCCTTTTGCCCAATCACTGTAGCTAATTCTCTATTGGACGAAAACACGAAAGGTTCAGACTTACTAGTGAGCTCCATTATACAAAGAAATTAGTATGGGAGAGCCATGCTTCGGCACGAATGGGCCGGCTCGACCGGAGTGATACTACGGCCTCACAGCAGACCGACGTGAAACAACGTTGTGTTGTGTTTCGTCGTGTGAGTGAGGTTACCGGATCCCCATTTACCCCCCTTTCCCCAATCCCCAACAATCCTCAAATTCATTGGACAAGTGGTCTCTAACTGCCAGGCAAGGGGTCTCGGGTTCGATACCCGGGTCAGGCAAAGTATTAACTGGGTGTTTTAAAAAT